AGCGTCCTTGTTCCTAGTAGCGATGCCAGGAGCCCCTAGTAGCTTCTGGTTCCTAGTTCACAGATTTGAAATCATAAAAGCATTCGTTTCATGACGCTTGCGAGCCCTCAAAACACTTGCGAGCTCTCTCAAAACCCGCAAGACTTCAATACACTGTGTTGTACACCTTTTGGGCTTCAGTCTGAGTTTCAGTGTTGACTGCGTGTATTGCGGAAAGGCGTTGGCAGAGTTCTTCTGTAAACGTGCATAACTTTTCATACCTGCTACTACAGCCCACCATGTGAGACCACAGGCGTCAAACAGAGCTTCAACCAGCTCCTCACAGAGTGAGGCTCGTCCCAGCCCTACCAATCACGGCCAACCGCCATTGACACTTGTATAAAGAGCATTTGATCTTGATCGTTCTTTGAATTTTGTCAATTTGTTTGAGTGGTCTTTCGCATCTCCAATTGCCAGGACCGCCGAAGCAGGTTGAGGACTGCTCGCTTGCAAAGGTCCTCCTTTACAGAGGACTGACACCTGTGCTTTATCCTTCTGCTGTATGCCATGGCCAGTCTGACTGTATTTTGACGTAGAGCCTTCATCTTCTCAAGTTGGTACCCACTTCTATCTTCTGTTTAGTGGCTTGGCTGGCAGCATTTTTCTGACTATAGGAAGCAAGCTCTGCGATGCGTCGAGGCATCAGCATGGGGCCAAATCTGAACCGAAAAGGATTGAAGAAGTCTTGAGCACTGGGATAGAATCCTTCCACTTAACGTTATTGACAGACTCCGAAAGCTCAGCTTTGTGTAAGCCTTCAAGATCTCATGTTCTTAATGTGTGTATTGTGGTGGTTGTTGTTGTTTCCGTGGTTCGTTCGGCATCATGATCGACCATCATTGTAAGTTCGGGCGGTTTTTGCTTGGATTTCAGACGTCAATTGCAGACAAACAAAGGCAATGTAGGAGCATTTTCATTCTTACGGTAGCTGACAGCCTTCTGAGAGGGCTATCATCCAGACCTTAAAATGTCGATAATGCGTTGTCCACACCCCTCAGAACCGGACGAAATGAAAAGCCACACTGCGCGGTGCAGACAAAGCAGCTAGAGCCAGACTGCATTTCCAGCATCAGCTAAGTAAGCTCCCTTTGGCAGCAAGAATCAAGTCCTCAGCCGAAGCCATTAGCTCAGCTGTTGTCCCACAACCTGGTCTGTGCATGGAATTGAAGCTAGGGTACTGCAGAGGAATAGTTCTTCAAAGAGAATTGCGAACTTCCATTTTGACAAATTTGCAGGCGTGAGAAAAGCCGACCAAGAAGAAGACCGAAGGAGCCTTCCTTGGCAGAATGGCACACACGCACATTTGCATTGGCCTTCCTGTGAACGACAGTAAACTGCAGCCAAGTGAAGGGCTGCAAAGCGTCGTGTGAGGCGAGTGAAGATGGGCGTGCGGGTTGAACTACCGGGTGGCCATGCACACCATATTGATAGCTATGACGTCATGCCGCTTGTCCTTCCAGCCTTGCAATGCCTTGCAGCTAGTGATGATATCGCCAGATTGCTCCTCATGTGTAGATTGCAGCAGCTGAGGCACGTACGGAACGAAGTGGAAAGAAGGTGCACACGTTCAAAGGTCACTGTACGAAGCGTACGAAGTTTCTGAGTCGTCTGCCAAGGCAGTTGATGCTTGGCGCTGCTCAAATCTTCCAATGGTGGGCCATGTTGGCGAAGCAGCGTCAAAACCAGCAGGACAAAGCCGGCACCGAGACCGGAGAGCACACAGAGCACAAGTGCTTCCACACAACACCCGAGCAGAGTTTAACACATACAAGACGCACTCCAATACGCACTTCAAGAGTGTTTGAATGTACAGTCAATGTTCGGAGTATTGATTGTTGTGTTTTTCGATTCACTGTTGTGTGCAGTTTGCGTCGTCGATTGAAGCACATTTTATGGGAGGAACTACTTCGAACAATGTGGGAAGCCAGTTCAGTGGAGAAGCATTTGTTGCGCCGGGCCGCAAGGGTCCTTGAGAGACGGAGAAGTGCAGCAGCTGAGAAGACACAGGCTATGGTAGAGAGGTGCTCTGACTTGCCCCATTTCAAGCTGTAATCTCGTTTTGCCCACAGTCATTTTTGCCTTTGGACAATGGCATTGGACAATTGAATTCAGGATTCTGAAGCATTCAATTGGTTGTCGTAACTGTTGAGGTGCACAGATCTTGCGAGTGAGTGGTTGGTACATGCAAAAGATGACACGGAGGAGGTCAAAGATCTTTGCTTCTTGGTAGTAGCGAAGTATTTCAGTGTGCGAATTGAGAAGTATTTCAGTGGGTGTACTTTAGCATTGAAAAAAGAGGATAACAATTCTATTTGCATATCAGGTGAACGTATGGCGACAGACGTGGGAATTTATCAGCAAGAGATGTTGCACCTGCAGATCCTTTTGCCACAAGCTTCACAGCCCTGCCATAGCGTCTTGGCTGAACTTGGCTGATGTGGTTTCTTCCTTGATGCAAGGGCACCAAGCTTTTTCAGTTTCATCTTCATGGGAACCTTCAATTTGGTTACTATAGCCCGACACAAGATTTGCGGTGGATAGCAAATATGGACAAGTTCTGCTGAGTGTGTGAAGTCAAGGGACAAAGATAGCTTGAAGAAGATTCGGGCCTTTCAATCGCCCTTTCTTGCAAAACACAATTTGCAAAAGTCTTGCCATTGCAGCGTGCCGCTGAAGCAATACTGACATGGCTCACTGATGCCCTATTCTTTTGGATTCTGCTATGTTGAGGAGCTGCTCTTTCAGATGCTACACCAACCGAGCTTCTAGCTGGGTAGCCCGGCAGGAAGAGCACACGACTCTCTGGTATTGAACTGATATTACTCCTACTGAAGTCTGTATTTGTACTTCATTCTCTTCAGAGGTGAGTCTGCACGTTGTTGATCGATATAGCTGGAGGTTCATGCTTGAGAAGAGGCTGGCTGAAGCCCGTTGCCCCCAGCTCCAGAAAGCGCTCCAACAGCTGCTCAGAAGCAATGCAGAGCTGCAGAGCATTTACATGAATTACTTGGGAAGCAGGCCGCAAACTGCAAAGCTGGAAGAGAAGATGGAGTCACAGGAGGACACACTGTAAATAAGAATGTCATGGTCACAGTCATGCTTGAAGATGCCACGAAACTTCCCGGCGGCTCAGAACCTCGTGGGGAAGTTTTCAATGCGGGAAAGCATCAGAACCTTGTTGGAGTTGGACATGTTCTTCCAATGATTTGACATGCTCATTGTGGGGATTTGTCATGTGGCGATTTGATATGTGGTGGTGCTGTGGTGAAGCGGTAAAGTGAAGTGACGTGCAGTGAAGTGACGTGTATAGTAATACATATATATATATATGCATACACATGTACACTCTCTCTCCCTCTCTCGACACGTCAAACAGAAGTGCCTGCTTCGCTTTGTGACTCTCTGCATCAGACAGCGTAGGATACGCCGCGGCCAGAAATTGATGACACCAAAGAAGAGGACATTGGATGCATAGTTGGGAATTCTTGAGCTTGAGCTGTTATCACTTGTTTAGACTTTAGACCTTCCAACTTTGCACTCCTTTTGAAGCAAAACCGCTTTGCCTTTTTGGATTTGGATTTAGTTGGCCTGGCTCCCTTCCTCCAGGAGATGCGGGATTTGGAGGAGCGCCTGAAAGCAGCAATGGAGCTTTTGGATGCACATCAGCCTCAACCCGTAAAAGCCACTTGGCAACAGCGTTTTTCAAAAGGGAGATGATTTTGATGCTTGGCCGTGGCCAGCCCCATGGCCAGACCATTTGGCTTATTCCATATTCCACGGTTTGATGTTGCGTGTCCCCAGACAGAAGAATAACTTCGGTTCTTTTGGCTGCACCAAAGTTGCATACTGGTTCTTGTAAAATGTACCTTACTGTTCCTGCCAATCCCTGCTGCTACCACTGTTGTGTAGTCACCAGCCATTGTTAGTTCTGAAGTGGAGCAGATAGCTTTTGAACTTAGGTTCGCATGGCAGGCTTAAAGCAATCAGCGATCACAGACGAGGAATGGGACATAGAGAGTTATACAACGTACACACCTACTTCTTCAGAGTTTGTGCTGCGATTGACATGCATCACGAGCTTTGTTGAAGTGGAGTCTTTGACACCAGACAGGGCACAAGGGGAATTCAGCCTTCAGCGCAGTTTCGCTGACACAGGGAGTGTGGTCACAAACTTGGACCATTCCTTTTTGGTTTATGCCTTGGTTCCAAAGACTTCAGGAGACAACTTTGGTTGGCTAGAGTGAATTTTGATCCCGCGGGTGATGCACCCATCGATGCTTCTGTGCAAGCAACACAGGAGACCTTCAAACGCTTGATTGCGGAGAAGTTTGCAGAGGTGCTACTTCCAATCCTTCTCTTCATTTTTGTCGGAGACCACATGTCTATCCAGCTTTTGTGAGTGTATATAGAGGTAATTAGTGCTTGAATTTGCATTCAGCTGCGAAGGCCATCAATGTGGACACAGACCAGGTCCGTATCAGGAACTTGAGCGGATCTGAAAAATAGTGGACATCACAGCTTAAATCTAGTCGGCAGCATGGCTGGCACCTTGTGGCACCTTGTGACCTTGTGGAAGCTGCGGATTTTCACGAATATTTGGCTCAGCACCTTTGAGCTGTGGCTGACCTCCAACGATCAAGAGATCCCTTCACTCACAATCACACACACACACACAGGCATGAAGAACATGGTTGGGCATACAGGTGCACGCACGTACAAGCATGAGAGAAGCAAGTAACGTTCAACGGGGTGGCAGCATCTGCATATCCAAACCTAGAAAGAAGCAACTGTTTTCACGCGCAACTTGGGTCACTGAGTCGAACGAGGTCAAATCAGCTACACTGAAACTGCGCCTCTAAGCGTGCCCCAAAGACTTTGACCATGGGCAACGCTACCAGCAACATATGCACAGAAATGTGCAACGGCATGATTCTTGCAATAAATGCTAGCAATTTATGTTTGCAAGCACTTTTCAAAGGCAATTGTTTTATACACATTCTGGACTGTGAGAGCAAATGAATGAGTCTTCTTAGGATGAATGCCATTGGCCGAATGCTGGGGTACTTGATTGCCACCATTATCTTTGCTGCAGCACTGGTATTCACAGTGGCCATAGTTCTTATGCTTGCGTTGGGCTCTGTGTTTTCGCTTCTGACACACAGCGATTTCAGCAAAATGTTGATTTCCCAGACAAGTCTTCTGGAAGTCAAATCTGTGCCATCGCTCCACTCTGAAGCCAACACCTTCTCTTCTTGGTGATTGTTTTTGCAAGCCTCGATCAATTGCAAGTGTCAATGGCTGCCCCAAGAAGCCATCTATATATATATATAAGTAATTAATTAGGCTGGTTGATGGATTTGAATTTTTCACGAGGTAGAGTTGCATCTGAGGATTCATGATTACATCAGCAGTTCACAGCAATTGCTTGGCATTGCTTCATTTGGGATTCTTCTACTTATACCGACCATAGTAGCTTGGCGACATGACTGAGATGCGGTTGTTGGTCAAAGTCTGAGACCGCCTGAGGTTCGCGGTGCGAATCGCGACGCCACCCTTCTGGATGTTTCAATGGCGCTCAGTGGAGCCTCGCTTTTGATGGGTTGCACAGCAGGGCTGCTTGGGAAATACAGTGCCTGAGCGAACTTGAGAATGATTCCTCAGTCTAGTCCAAGAGCGCTAGAAGACACCCGTGACAGATACAATGAGATCTATCAGTGCTCTTTTTTTGAGACATGTGCAGGTCTATTGCTCCCGCTAGCTCTGTGTATTTTGTTTGGAGTGCCGCTGGCTGTGCTTCTTGGTGGCACAAAGACCAAGGTATTTGGAGACAAATCCGGTCACACAAGACCTCGTCGGCTTCTCCATATCTTTACCATTCATCTCTTAGGCTTATTTTATTCTTATGGTTATTATTTCTTTCAACATTTGTAATCACTTCCTGAATCCTTCATGGGACACACTATTTTCATTATTCATGTTGCATTCCCATTTTCTTCTTATTGGTTGATACTATTTATTGCTGATAATAATATCAAGGTTGTGGATTACTTATTCATTCATATTTCTTTCTATCTTATTTCTTACTTATGGACGGGTTAAAATTCATTAATATGTTATTTTCTTCTGAATCTATTTATAGAAAGGCTGTGCAGCATCCATTATTCTCACTTCTTGGTCATTCAATTTTCTATCTACTGGTTTTCTAGGATTTAATAATGGATTGTATTTTTTTCATGTTCTTCTTCCAATTCATTCTTGATTATAAACTCCATTAACATCCATTATTCGTCATTTATCTTTATTAGTCCCCTCTTATTTTTTTTATATCTGAGAGCTATAGCCTATGAAGTTAATCTAGGATTTTGATCTCGGATTCACTGTAAAATTTCCATAAAGTCATATGTTAATCCATAGGTTGGCAATGGCTATTTTAATTCCTCTATGGTGCGGTTCTTCATGTCCTTCTGCTACATCGGTTGCTAATAATATATTATCTGGATTTTAGGGGGCAGCTTTTCAATAGGTCGCACCTTTAGCGAGAACTCTTTGCACAAAATTTAGGAGTTGGCGTGAACACACGGTTTCACACACAGAGTGGTTGCAGTCCGTCACAAAAACTCATGACGGTTGGGCATGCATGACGTTGCACACGACCCTGGCCAAACGAGACACGGCACAAATAAGTGCAAAGCCGCCTTTTTCAGCTGCTCCAGGTGCTGGTGTCATTTATGTATGACTTTTCCAGATTGGGTGAAGGACAGCGTCAACTGAGACATGCAAGATCGACTGTTTGATGAACACTGGCTCGTGCTGATATCCAGGACTGCTGTTGCGATGTTTGCCCTACTCTGTGGCGTAGCACTACAGCATCATCGCAGCCACTGCTGCAAACTGAATGGATGGACAGCAAAGCTGAGGCCGCAGAATCTGTTGTGGCACAGATTCATGACAGGGTATTGCAGAATTGGTACAGAAGGTAGATTTTGGGCATCGTTCAATTTGTGTCGTGCCTTTTGTGTGAGGCGTTGAACATGACCGAAATGATGGAGGCTTTCTTCGACCAGTGTGTCCTTTGCGGGAAGGAGCTGCTGAAGCGAAAACCTGATCTTTGGTTGACTCGTGACGACTTGGAGCTACGACGACAATTATCGGAGAGAAGAAAGAGTACTATTTTCAAACATTGTTGCTTTTGCAGCAATGAACCAGAGACTGACTGCTACGCAAACTTGTGAAGAATACAAGCTCTGGCAATTGGTACCAAGGAAGAACTGATGCCAGATGTTATCGTGGGTTTGCCGGCGCTGGCACTTTTAAGGGTGATCCAGGACTTGGAAGGGATCCGTTTTCGTTCAAAACATTCAAACTCAAGCGGAACTGTTTCACGAAAAAGATGATGTTGTTTGAGCAATATTTCATGACAAGGAAACACTAGCCCGAGATCATGGCCGTGGATTCTTGCTGGATAAATGGTTGATCACCGATCAGAACCGCCCTGCTGTGCGCGGTGCAGCAGAGGCGTATCGTTGGGCTCTTGAAGCCAAAAAAAGCTTTGGCAGAGCTGCAGCCATCGGTCGAAGAGTGCCTTTTCATCGAAGCACGAACGACACCTAGCTACAGAGGTTACTTAGAGGGTTGCTTATGTTTCTTTTGCCAACAGCCGTTTGATGTCCTTTTTGCCAAAAAATCTATATTAACGATTTCAAGACCAAAGACAAGGAAGGCATGAAAGGATCCGTGAACCTAGGATGTGGGAAGGAATTGAGGCACCTGCAGCTCCTGACTTCGAAGAGGGGCTGGAGGCAGATTTTGTTCAGACCTTTCCTTCATGCTGTTTAGTCAGAACAGTGCTTGCTTCAGAAAGGCTTGCACTTTGTGAGCAACTCGCAATGTGCCTGTGCTCAAGTCCACATGTTTGCGCACACACAACCTGTACTCCAAGCATATCGTGATTCATTGTACGCACACCCCACAGAAATACACGTATGCAATATGCAGCGCTGCTGTGTTGTGTCATTGCCAGGTCTTTGCCAAGTGCCCCTTGCACTGTCGTTCGCCGGGCCTGGCTGGACTGATCGGGCGAAGGCTTCCAGTGGCTTCTGGCTGCCATGGACGCGTTAAAGGCAACTCTCGTCTTGATCAAGGTTTAAGTCAGATCTAGGAACTCTTAAGTTTCTCTGAACATCTAGGAACCAAATCAAGCCTGAGCCTTTCTGTGTCCAAGCCCTAGGCTACTTAAGCTTAGTAGTTCCTCCGAGTTCCTCTATATCAGAACTGTCCTTCCAGTCTCACAGGCATGGTACAACACCGTGTGGAGGTCCAGTGGAGCGCCGGGCTGGGTTTGCATGCGCCTCATGAGTTGCTGCGCAAAGAAGAGCCACGCCGTCTCGAGGCTTCCTCCTCGTTGCTTCCTTTGGAACCTTGAAAATATGGGAACCGCCTTTCTCCACAGTGTATACTGTATGTGGTAGAATGTATATACAGTGGATTGGATTTATGTACCAAGTGCAGTATACACCGTGTGAGTTTTGCTCATCCGTCGTGCCCAGTCCGCTGCTGCCGGTGAACCGCAAGAGGGATCCAGGAAGCAGCTAGCAGTGCAAGTGGCCGGGCGTTTGCGAAGTGTGGCAACTTTCTTTACTCGGATGCCCTTCTTTCAGCAGACGCCCAGCTGACGGAGCACAAGAATTTCAATGTTTGTTTAGAGGCATCAAGCAAAAACGAGTAAGAAAATAGACACTGTATTCATTTACCGTAGATTTTTATCTAAAGTTTTGCTATATTTTTTCTTTACTTTGGGTACTCCTCCACTCTGGACCCGAAGATACTCAAGGAACTTTCGTGGACGCGTCGTGGAGTCTTTACTGAAGGGCTACGACCAATGGCGCTTCGGTGCATCTTCTCCAGCCGGGTCCTCAAAATCTCTTGTCTTTCTCTGGATTATTGTTTTCCACTTGGTGCTTTTGGCACTCTAAGCAGAATTCTTAGGTGCGATCGCCGCCTTTGTTAAGCCATGCCACAGGTGCCCTGGCAGCTGCTTGTGCCTGTGAGATCGCTCGGCTCCGGTCTGAGGAGTAGTCGAAGCAAAACATGAGCGGCTGTTGGGCATGAAAGGCATGAAACTGCAAGCCAAGTGATGCTTTCCTGGGCCTAGCTTCTTTTCAAAAGAAACTGCAACGGAAGGCCGATTGAAGGTCATGCTCACATTAGTGTCGGTCGTCTTTTCTCCGTGGTTGCCGTTGCGCCACAACACTTCTGAAAGCGCCCAAAGACTGAGTAGATTGTTTACGGAATTCTTAAATTTCAATCGGGTTGGCTTCACAACAAGTTGGACATGCTTCACTTTCAATTGTGCAGACCCCTTTTGAAAATGCAAAGTCAGATATTTATGTGTACTGTAGTGAAGCTTACATGGATGGTGACCGCAGCACGAAACACTGAAGCTGAAATTCTCAACAGCGATGAGTTTAAGAACAATCTGATACTCTGGGCAAGTATGAAGACCATTGAAGACCTTTGCTTGCCCTTGCTTTTCTGCCGGTTTGCGACTCCTCTGGCTCTCGCTCAGTTCGTCTTTCCACATTTTTCCATTGGACAGCGTCTATGAGAAGAAGCCAGCATTCTACACTATCTGTCCCTTCGAGCAACTACATCAACATCTCCTGCAATTGTGCAAGAGATTAGGCAGGGGTGAAAGTCATATTGCTCCCACGACTTCGCTGCCTGTTTTAACATTTCGGCTGGGCCATGTCGTCGCCGCAATTGCCGCACTTCGTAAGGGTCAAGGGCGAGGCGCAACATGTTGGTGAGTTGGACACCAAATGACACCAAACAATTCTCAGATCTGAAGATTTTGCTCTTGTCAACACTTCTGACCCTGAGGATGAGCTCGAGGTGAACCTGAAAGCTTGCGGATTGAACAACTCAAGCTTGTGGATGAGCATCCATGAACTTCAAGAGTGACTTGGCGAAAGACTCCGAAGGCGCTTGATCCGTTGCCATTTACATCAATTTACAGTATTGCAATCCTTCAGCACAGCATGCAAATGACATGTACATGATCCAAGGTGTTTGGAACAGCTTCCAAAACGTTGTCAGATGAAAATCGATCTCAGCAACAATCCTGATATTAATGATGAAGGACTGGAGTGTGCCTCGACAAATCGACCAATGGCTTTGATACATCTCCAGCTTTACATTTGAGCATCCGAGGTTTGGTTAACTTCCTTGATGAGCACAGCTCTTGGGTGCCAAGGCCCCTGCGACGAAATTCAATAATTCTTTGAGTTCCCTCCATGTTCGTCATTCCAACTTCAACATCTGGCGAGGCTCAAAGTTGCCGGCACGGGAATGAGAGCCTTGGCCAAATGTTTCCAACTTTCAGCCTTACTTCTACATTGATTGCAAATCCTTGACCTGCCTTGTTGTGTCCATTGTTCCATTTTCCTCCTGAAGCCCTTAGCGAACACAATATTCAATAGAGAGGGGACAAAAAGCGCTCCTATTGTTGCTGTGGTTATGGAAAAAGCCTCAAGAGCGACCGACAAAAACAGCCGCTCACGTTGTTCCTTGAGCCAAACGTAGGTCGTTTTGACCGGTGGTTCACCTTTTCAGGTGTTCATGACCTTCACGAAAAAAGGTATGCTTTGGGTCGTGTGCTTTTCCACTCACACTCCCCCTATGCTGGTCAAAGGTGCCAGCATACATGGCTTCATAGGGATCCACTGCAGGTTTTTTCTTCTGCAGCGTCACCCAAAAGTTCAAAGCTTCCAACCGACCGCGAGTCTTCGCTGTCGTGGCTTAGGCCAGGAGGCCTCACAAATGGCGTCTCAACGCCCATCCAAATGGGCAGACCATCAGCTTCCGGCGGACTTAACCGCTCACTCTCCAGCGAGACCCTCCAAGCCTCCTCATTCAGGTCCACCGCCCTCGACGAAGCGGACGGCCCGATCTCTCCCCTTTTCAAGCACCCAAGGCGCCTTGCCTCATAGCCGCTCACGGGGACACCCTCCAAGGTCACATTGACTCGTGCAGTGATTGCCGTGCCGTCATAGGCACGTGACATTTGAAATGAAGTACCAGTTAAGGCCTCCACAGCTTTCCGACCCCTCTCCGCAGCATGCGAAGAAGTGCCACCATCACCTCCATACCCTTCACGGGGTTGAGATCCTCCAGCTCCAGGCCGCAGCGGCATTTGAGCCTGCGAAGACAACGCTTCCTCGCCCTCCGCAGCACCAGCCTCTGGGCCAAACTTCTCGAAGAAGAACGTGTAGCCACCCCATTCATAGCAGTCTCTGACATCCGAATTTCTGTTCTCCACCCAGTCATCGATGATGCATCGTCGACGCCAAGCTTCTCTTGTGCTCCCCCGGCTGAAGGCCACAGTGATCCGGGTTGGCGAGAGACGTCCGATCGAAACAGGCGTCCCCCTGTGGAGCGGATGGAACTGCCGCACCCTGGGCCTCTTGAGGACCCTCACCCACCAATCACCACTGGCGGTGCCACATCCAAGGCATTCCCACCGGTCCAGGCCAGTCGGCGGCGACATGAAGCGAGCAAGCTCCCAAGGCTCATCCGTTCCCAAGCCCACATGCCTAGGCGGCGGTTTTGTCGGCGGCGCCTTCATGGCGCACATCCGCATTCGGCCATGGCTGCAAGGCGAAACAAAACCCTTGGTAACCCTCGGGGTGCCGGTCCGGCAACAGTCGCACGAAGTCGGACGATCGACGGGCGGGGAGGTTCTATAGGTTGTGTTCCTCCCGCATTCGATAGGGCCGGGTTCATCTTCCCTCGACCATCTTGATGTTGGGCCGGGTTCATCTTCCCTCGACCATCTTGATGTTTCTTTTGAATGGGATGCGTTAGACCTCTTTGTTGACTGGCCATCTGCCGTCTTAGAACACTTCTTGTGCACAAATGCCGTCAACGCTGCCAAGCCGCACACCGATGCCGCTCGGACCGCAGTGCCCAGGCCTGGAGCCACCACTAACAGTCCCAACGCCACCGCCGCACCCAGCGCCAACTTCTTCAAGCGAGAAAGCGCAGGGTCCTCCGCAGACGCCTCCGGCTCCACCGACACAAGCCCCACCGTAGAAGCAAATGATTCCCAGCTCCGAGGCGCAGTGATCGCCTTGGTCAACAGGTCAGCGCATAGGTCAGCGCCAGGGATGTGCTCTGCATGCCACAGCTTCATCTGCAACCGTTCCCTCAAAACGTGGCTGCGGAGCCTAAGATGCCTCGTCCGCCAGGGCCCGCTTGGGGCATGCAGCAGCTGCAAACCTGACAAATTGTCGCCTCGCAAAACATAGCAGCCTTCATGGGCCAGCGCATTCTGCTCGAGGACGTTGACAATCGCTCCAACACTTTCTCCAAGGGTGAGGCCATCAACATACCCCAGAAGTTCACATTCAGTTGTACTCAGCGTTGCAAAGGGCTGAGTTTTTGATTCCCAAGCCACCAAAGCACCACCCCACAGGCACATGATGCCCTGATGACCTTTTCCTCCAGTTGGTGCAAACGACGAGTCTGCCAACACCTCCAGCCTGGACATCGAGCTCTGCCGGCCATAGGAGTCCGTCTCCTCGGAACATGGCTTATAGGCAAGCGCATAGTCAAGGGTGTTCATGAGGTACCCCACCACATGATGAGCCAACTTGAGCACTTTCTTTGGACATTTTGTCACCCTGGAACCCAGGTAGGAGACCGCAAAGCTCAGGTCAGGCCTTGTACGTGTCGATAGCCAAAGAAGCTCACCGATGATGGTTTGACATTTTTTCACATCCTCCTGAAGAATTTCGTCCTCCAGGTCCACATCATCCAGCTTCGGGAGGGGAACTTGGCGAGGCTGAAGGTCAGGATACCGACTAACAATTTCCCGCGTGTAGTCAGGCTGCCCCACCAACAATTCATCACCCTTCCACCTCATCTCTATGCCACAAAATTTCAACCACTGGTGCTGAGTCACCCATTTTGGCTCGGCGCACTTCCACATGGTTGATAGCTTCTTCAGGAAACGTTCTGCCGTGGGACGAGGAGCAGTGACAATGAAGTCGTCGACATAGGACAAAGCATACCCTGCCGTTGACCCATCATCCATCACCTTCACAAATTCCTCCTCACCTCCAGGTGCAGTCATCAGTCGCCACACATTGGGCTCCGGAGTGGGAACCACCCAATTATGCACCCCATCCTCCCACCACCGCATGCTCTGCAGCGCTTCATCCCTGTAGGCCTGCCAGTCAGAGGGAGATGTGTCCAGGCCGTAGACCGCCTTCTCGATCACCCAGCGAATGTCAGGCTCGATGAGTCCAGCCTCTACCAGGATGGACGGCGGCTTCGTCACCATGAGCCTGGACGATTTCCGAGGTGCAAGCAAAAACGCTGTAGAGACATCAGTAACCCCGATGGACCACTTCTCCTGAGCCGCTTTTCGCAACGTGCACCTCAATGACATGCCATCGATGCCACTGGCATATAAATCAAAACTGCTTCCCATGGTCTTCTGTTGAGGCGGTTGGTCATCTTGACGATCCTCCAGGGCCATAGGTTGCTCTCGACATTTTGAGGTGTCCTCCACCAAATTGCCACAAAGAACGATACGGGCTTTCTTGCGAGCATCCGGGGCCTTCACCGTCGGGACAACCTTCGATGGGACCACCAGCATCTCTTCATAGCCCGGTTCATTCACCAAATCCTTCACTTCACAGGCCGAACAGCTGTGGTTGACGTTTCCAGCGATGTTACCTCGTTCTTGAGAGGCGGAATCCATAGTGGAAGATCTTTTCGAACCTGTGCTAGGGGCACCGTGTAGGTTTGCAGGACCGAGTGGACTGCTTGCTGCTCCGGCGATTGCGAGACATCAACAGCCATTGCCGCTATCTGGATCTTCTCATCATCGCCTCGCGTGTCAGTCAACTTGTTCTCCATCTCCAAGACCATCTTCTCCACATAGTCGAGGATGTAGCCCTGCATTGTCCCCTCATCTTCACCTACCACCACATCCTTTGCGAGGTCCGACCATAGACGCTTCCAGCTCCAATGTTCTTCTTCTCCATGTTCACGGAGCTTCAGTGCCTCGTTCATCTCAC